GGTAATAGGTTGATAGACAGCAACCACCCAGGGGGGTACTACCGTCCTGCCAAATGAGTGTAAAACAGAAACCTGTAATTGTTTTACATGATGGTAGGATTGCTGGTGTCTCTTTTCTGCCTCGTAAACATGCAAGATTTCAGGCATGTCTTGCTACTTCTACTTACACTTAGGTCACACTACACATGCATGTACAAGCATGTATATACACACACCCCTCAGGGTTTTCTTCTATTTTCTTGCTAGTTGTTGTTTATTTCCTCTTATCCCCATGGGGAAGTGGAACAGAATTATTCCTCTGGAAGCCTTGTATGTCGTAAGAGGCGACTAAAATGGTGGGCGCAAGGGGCTAGTAACCCCTTCTATATACATTACTAAAGTTAAAAAGAGAAACTTTTGTTTTTCTTTTTTGGGCCACCCTGCCTTGGTAGGATACGGCTGGTTTGTTGGAAGAAAGAAGAATAATAGTAGCAGGTTGATAGACAGCAACCACCCAACCTCGTGCATTTCCTTCTTTGTCTTCATGGATAACGTTTTTTTATTTTTTGTTTTGTCTCCACAGACACCTCAGCTTTAATATCATGACAGCTAGAAACTTGTCATTTCAAGGCCCATTCTTTAAATCGTACATTGGACCTCATCCAGGGACACCAGATATAGTACTGACAAACAGAGACTGTGACATCTTCCACTGTCGTATATCTCCTGGTGGAAACGTAGGATCTGACCATATCCCTGTTATAATACAACTACAAACTTCTCCATTTAGAATACCTGTACCTCCTAAACCCAATCTTAACATCCTAGGATTTGACCCCTTCAGGGCATATCTGGGTGAGGATGAAATTGTGTCATTGGAAAATCTACCTTCCAATGCAATTGATAATGCAATCAGGTCCCTGCATAATCGAATAATTGAAGCTACTAATGCAACTTGTCAATTAGCTTCCACAAAGATATACCAACAATATAAACCTACTAGGGAAATTAGAGACAATTTAAGAAATTATCAAGCAGAATGTCGAAGGCATCTTCAAACGCGACAACCACCAGCAGCTACACTGCACCGATTAAGGCAAGAATTAATTAACATGATTAGTCATTACAAATGGGACATATGGAAATTTCTAGTTCTTCAAGCTAATAAGTATAAACAGGAACCAGCAAAATTTTGGAGTAAGATCCGGCAACTTTTAGGTGGCAAAGCACAAGGCTCCTAACAAACCTAGTTCATACCTTCACTGATGAGGATGATGAAGATGTTGAAATTAAACTTGACGATCCACAGGACCAGGCTAATTTGATGGTGATGTATGGGAGAAAATTCTCTTCCCACAATAACAGTCGTCAATTTAATAATAATTTCATTATCAGTTGGTCAATGAATGGAGAGATGAGAACTTGGATGATCTGCAACCACTACCTTCCATCGATACTTCAACTCTTGAAGATACCCACCCGCTTACTAGACCTATTACATTACTAGAGATAAGTCAGGTTATTGGAAGAATGAGAAATAGAGCCCCTGGCCTCTCTGGAATAACAATGAAACAAATAAAGTACCTACCTAGAAATTGTAAACAGTCTTTGGTAAATATCTTTAATGCCATCTTGGCCTCAGGACATTTTCCAGCTTTGATGATCTTTCTTGGTAAGCCCAATAAAGACATCCACCAACCTGGGAACTATCGACCTATATCTTTCCTTGAAGTCACTGGAAAAGTTCTTGAGAAAGTCATTTCCAACAGATTGAACTACTATATGGAGTTTAATCACTTTTTTACTGAAAAACAATTTGGCTTTAGAACACATAGAGGTACCAATCATGCAATAAATGTTATTTTCGATACTGTAGCAAGTCTAAAACATCAGGGCAATCTTGCCTTAATTGCCACCAGAGATGTTCATAAAGCTTTTGATAGCTTATGGCATGATGGCCTTATATACAAACTCATTGACCTACCAGACCATAACTGGACTTTTCTCAGTTTAAATATATAATTTCTTAACTCAACGAAAAATCATTCCCACCTTTCATGGCAAGTCGACAGAGCCTTTTATACCAACAGCTGGTGTCCCACAAGGTTCTTGTCTAAGTCCAATTCTGTTCAACATTTATGTGAATAACCTTCCTCAACCAGAGTTTAATGATAACAATTGTGACACAGTTTTGCAGATGATGTTATTCATGTCGTCTCATCAACTCCGGTAACAGGAAAATACAAGTATGAGAGAGTCATAGAAAAAATGAATATTGAACTTCGTAGAACATCTAATTGGGAAAAGAAATGGAGAATTACGACTAATCCTGACAAGGTCCCCTTTTTAGCACGATAGGATGTTTTGCATCAACAATTGAAGATAAAGGGGTATCTCCATCAGAGGTACACCTGTAGCCATTAGAAACCCTAACAAGATTTTGGGATATGAAATAGACAGGCTGCTCCACTCAACATCTCATGTAACTAAAAAGATCAATATAGCCAAAGCCGGTCTTAGCAGTCTCTTTCGATTCAATCAAGCCCCTCAACATGTTAAAAAACATCTGTATAAAATGATAATAAGACCAGTACTCGAATACCCTTGTGTCCCAATGTCCTTAACAACAAAGACCAACATGCTAAAGGTTACAAAGGGTCCAGAATAGAGCTCTTCGCTTTATTACCGATACCAGGAGGAGAGACAGAGTTAAAATGGCAGATTTACACATACAACAAGATATTACTGCCATAAATGTATGCCTTGACACCCTAAAAAAGAAACAACTTTATACAATGCAAGAAACTATACATCCAGATAGAGAACATCCTATACAAGTGGTAAATACCACAGATTATATACAATCAATACTCCTCCTCACAGGACTCAAAGAATGACTCTCCCACAGAGGGTCCGTCGTTTTATTTTATAAAGATGATTACCCTCGACCCATGATATTGAGCAACCTCCCTGATGAAGAAGATTGGGTACCACCAGAACCCTTCTATGTATACTGAGAAAATCATCGCCCCCAATTAGGGAGACATCTTATATAACTTTCTAATGTAAAAATTTTGCTATTTACTATGGCTGGACACCACCTATAAGAAGCCATTGTCATGAAAATTATAAACTGGCCAGAAAATTATTGCCCCTTCATTGTCGCATAAATATCCGTTGTGCAATCGCAAAAAAAAAAAAAAAAAAAAAAAAAAAAAAAGCAATTGCAACTTGTATAATTACTACCAATTCAGAGTCATGTACTTATATACCTATTATAAACTATGTGACTCTGATGGGTTTAGTATTATACCCCTTAAAGAATATCTTATCATTTCACATACACTTTTTAAATTACAACCAAAGTGGTTGGCCACTTAACCTTTTATATCCTACCTCTCCCCCCCTCCCACCCTTTTCCAATATTTCCATCCTTACCCATCCTTCTTCGTTACCCATCTTACCAAAGCTCTGGTCATAAGAAGAAGAAGAAGAAGACCTCAGCACAACCACTCACCTTTTTTCCTTCATTAGTTCTTTGGTTAACCTTCTCCTTCATTACCCATCTGCTGTCACATCTACTCTCATATATCTGAACACATCCACTTCTTCCATACCTAAATCATTTGATACCCTCATCACCTTACTCTTATCCGTATTCATTTTCAACTTTCTTTCTTTACACACCCTCCCAAACTCTTCCTCTAACCTTTGCAACTTCTCATTAGAATCTCTCAAGAGCACAGTATCATCAGCAAAAAGTATCTGTGAGAACATCCATTTTGTATTTGATTTCCCATAATTTAATCCCACCCCTCTCCCCAACATCCTAGCATTTACTTCTTTTACAACTCCATCTTTAACCCTTTGAGGGTTTTCGTCGTACTAGTACGTCTTACGCGTAGGGGTTTTTGACGTACTAGTACTCATAAATTCTAGCGGCCTCAAATCTAGTGGGAGAAAGCTGGTAGGCCTTCATATGAAAGAATGGGTCTATGTGGTCAGTGTGCACAGTCTAAAAAAAATCCTGCAGCACACAGTGCATAATGAGAAAAAAAAACTTTGACCATTTTTTTTTAATAAATCAGCGACTTTGCAGTGTATTTTCGTATGGTATTTATTGTTGTATTCTAGTTTTCTTGGTATCATTTTATAGAATGGAAGACATATTACTGAAATTGAGATGATTTTGACTGGTTTTTACAATGAAAGGTGCCTTGAAATTGAGCTCAAAGTAGCAGAAATGTTCGATTTTTACCAAATTTCAAAAGTAAACAAATCGTGCCAAGCGTGCAATACACGTCAACTGGTGAGTCTAATATTCTTTCACAAGTGCACCAATAATATTTATACCATTTTTTACACAAATGCAGTAGTCTGTATAACAGTAAATCTTATATTTTTTGTGAGAATAAAAATTCAAAGTGGAAAGCAAAAGAATATAAGAGGGGCCTTGAGACGTGACTAATGACTAGAGGAAATGTCATTTTAGTGCCAGGAATGTCTATCTTGTTTATTCTGGACGCTATTCGGAAATTGGCATCTTTTGAAATTTGTGTGAAATTGGCAAAATTGGTAAATTCTGACCACTGTACTGGATAGTTGAATTTATAAATGGGTGGTTTCTTGCAACCATTCGATAGAAAAAATGGAGTTCTAGCGAAATATTCATTTTTTTTGTCGACTAGTACAGTGAAATTGGCTGAAAATGGGGCTCAAAGTGGGCAAAATCGCCGATGCATAAACATCGCCGAGAACCGCTAACTTTGCGAGAGCATAATTCGTAAGTTTTCTATCAAATTTCAAACTTTTGGTGTCGTTATGATCGGGAAAAGATTCTCTATCTTTTCATAAGAGAAAATAATTTTTTTTTTTTTAAATTTGGCCGACCCTGAGAACGAGTTTCGGAGAGGGCCTGTCGACCCTCAAAGGGTTAAATATGTTAAACAACCATGCTGATATTACACACCCCTGTCAAGTGTAGTTGCTGTAATTTATTGTTTTCTCTTATTTACAGATGTGAATTCCCAAGTGCCTGATAAGAAGTCAATCATGAGTATGTTATGTGCTTGTTCCAAGCTCTTCCTCATGGATCTTTCACCATGGATAGTCTTGATGTTTCTCTACAGTCAGATTCTTCCTTCTCTATTGAAGTAAGTTTTTCCCCATAAGAAATAATGGAAATCAAATTAATCCATGCAAGACACCCAAAAGTATTGAAAAAAAAAATTTTTTTACCACATGAAATATTAATTTTAATACACACAAAGGAAGAAGACATGTACAATTACAGATCTGGTGATGATTGATGGGATGGAGGAGGGGGAGACTGTGGATGGTGTTAGTGTTTAGAAGGGGAATCCCCTCCATAGGACTTGAGGTGTCAAGTCCTTTTTTCCGGGTTTACTTCCCTTCTTCTTTTAATGCCACTAAGACCAGCTGAGAGTCACTGGACCTCTGTCGCACAACATATCTGTCCATAGAGGCCTGTACCTCCCGTTCCTTTATGACATTCCTAAAGTGTTTCACAACATTGTCAGTGTCACAATTAAACACTTGTTCAGGTTTCAGTTCTTCACTGTCTATGTACTCCTTGAATTCCTGCACATATTTTCCAGGCTGGAGGCAGTGGAGATGTCCATGTCTGAGAGCAATGTGTGGTGTGAATATAATGCAGATAATTCGTAGTTTGGAAGTTAGGAGGAGGTGCGGGATTACCAAAAACTGTTGTCCAGAGGGCTGAGGAAGGGTTGTTTGAGGTGGTTTCGGACATGTGGAGAGAATGGAGCGAAACAGAATAACTTCAAGAGTGTATCAGTCTGTAATGGAAGGAAGGCGGGTAGGGGTCAGCCTAGGAAAGGTTGGAGGGAGGGGGTAAAGGAGGTTTTGTGTGCAAGGGCTTGGACTTCCAGCAGCATGCGTGAGCGTGTTTGATAGAGTGAATGGAGACAAATGGTTTTTAATACTTGACGTGCTGTTGGAGTGTGAGCAAAGTAACATTTATGAAGGGATTCAGGGAAACCGGCAGGCCGAGGACTTGAGTCCTGGAGATGGAAGTACAGTGCCTGCACTCTGAAGGAGGGGTGTTAATGTTGCAGTTAAAAAACTGTAGTGTAAAACACCCTTCTGGCAAGACAGTGATGGAGTGAATGATGGTGAAAGTTTTTCTTTTTCGGGCCACCCTGGCTTGGGGGAATCGGCCATGTGATAATAATAAAAATAATAAAATTTTCAGCTGCTTTTTGGTCTAAACTGGCAGCCTCACCATGCCTTATCACACTATGTATGCCACTACGATTCTTAAATCTCTCAAACCAACCTTTGCTGGCCTTAAATTCACTCACATCACCACTAGTTGCAGGCATTTTTCTAATTAAATCTTCATGCAACTTCCTAGTCTTTTCACATATGATCGCTTGAGAGATGCTATCTCCTGCTATCTGTTTTTCGTTTATCCACACCAATAACAGTCTCTCAACATCTTTTATCACTTGCGATCTTAGTTTCGAAAACATAGTTGCACCTTTGGCAAGAACAGCTTCCTTGATTGCCGTTTTTGTGGCCACAATAGTAGCGATGGTTGATTGGGGTTTTGTGTACAACCTGGCCAGCTCGGAGACACACACTCCACTTTCATACTTATCAATGATGTCTTTCTTCATATCCATAGTAATTCTCACCCTTTTTGTTGTAGGGTTGGCACTAGAAGCTTTCTTGGGGCCCATGGTGACTTATTTTGCAGGTGCAATCACTAAAAACGCTGTGATAATATGAAATGTTCCGATTGTATGTTTGGATGGGACCGCGGTGGCTGGCTGGCTTGTAAACACTGGCCACATGTGGACGCGTCTCGGATGGAACGAATCGTGTTGGTCGAGTTTTTTAGCGCTAGTCGAGGCAAAATTTTTTGCTTTAAAATGTATTGCTAGTCGGATTTAACGTTAGACGATGCCATCGTTGGTCGAGGGTCCACTGTATTTTGTAGCCTAAATATTATTTAAAGGAATTTATACATCAACAGACCAAATATGACTGCTGAATGGAAGACATATGGTGGCTCAAATAATGTAATATATGGATATATGATGTTCAGTGCAGAGTAATGAATTCATTAAACTTTGATTTTAGTTTGGCACTGGAGTAATTGGCAACCTTGTTTTTGGTGGTGATTTTGCTCCTTTTCCATACCTTTAACAGTAATATAAATTTCATATTAATAGCGTATTTTCTTGTATTAAAATGTTAAATGGTAAACAATTACAGCATAGAATTACTACATAGGGAGTAAAATTTAAAAGTAATGTATTTTTTTTTTTTTTACCTTACAGGGTTTTGTCAAATTTGATATGATAAATCCATGCAAGTTTACTCCAAAAGCATTTTCTACTTTACTGATGCACTAACCATCGATTATTACTCAGTAAAAAAATAATTTTATTATTTGCAGGGCAGCGTTGAGGATACGTCTTGCATTTCTGCTAAGGCCCGCCCACTTTCTACAGCCAGTATTGGTTTGAGTGAATACCAGCGTACTCTAGAGGAAGTGTTGACATGGTTGTTGGGGGCAGAGGATCGATTGGCTGCCATGCCCCCAATTGCTGAAACAACTGAAGCAGTGAAAGAACAATTTCATGATTTAGAGGTACAGTATAGTAGTTATACTTATTAGTTCATAAATAGTAAATGTCTAATTTATGTTGTGGTATGAAATCATTTTTTTTTTCCTGCCACATTTCCCCACAGAAAAAGAAAAGAGAGAGAAGCAGTATCTGCTGTATCTCTTTCATGATACCTCTAATAATGCTCAAGCATATCCAGTCTTGTTTACTATTTCTTTTAAATTATAAAATTGTTTTAAGGAATTAATGTTGGAGCTGACGTCGAAGCAGGGCGGCATTGGTGATGTACTTGGTGAAGGTTCACGGCTGATGAGAGAAGGGGTGATGGAGGAAGAGGAAGAAGAGGAAGTGAGAGTGCAGATGAAGCTCCTCAACACACGCTGGGAAGAGCTACGAGTCAAAGCTATGGACCGGCAGTCAAGGTATGTATTACAACCCAGCACAATAAGGCCTGTTATCCTGGGTGTAAAGGGGCACAAGGAGCAGAAGAAACACAGCTGAATGACTTCGAAATATATTTTCCTTCAAGAAAAATAGCAAGTATTGACAAGTATGTACACTATATACAGTTAGAAATGTATGTGTACGACACGGTTAATCAAATGCAAAGACAAAGCCTGGAGACATTGGACAACCGTGCTCAACCAGCTCTAGAATGGAAATGACAAGGGTGGACAAGTGAGTGGTGACCACGTCACATCCACAATTGCCAGACACACTTTCTCATTGGCTGAACCTAGGTACTGATCGGACGATGGGGCTCCATCATCCGACTCTTAGTACTGGTTTGCTGGTTGGTGAGGTAGCCTTTCAATGATGGTGTGTACATGCGCCAAATAAAGGTTACATACTCTTTGCATGCCACAGTATGTAAAGTCAGAATACACAAATAACCTGCACATAAAAGAGAGAAGCTTACGACGACGTTTCGGTCCGACTTGGACCATTGACAAAGTCACACTAACCAGAGGTGGAGCAGGATGGCTATATATAGGCAGGAAGAGGTGGTGGTAGTAGTAGTAGTAGTACAAGAATTGTATATAATACCGACAAGATGAAACTAAGACACATGCACAACACCCGGGCATCCCCATCGTAGACGTTTCGCCATCCAGCCAGCCACTGGATGGCGAAACGTCCACAACAAAGACAACCAGATGCCGCACATGTGTCTTAATTTCATCAGTAGTTGTAGTAGTAGTAGAAGAAGAAGAGGTAGTGGTAGAAGTGGGAAATAAGGAAGACGAGCCAGTCAAATACAAAGGAAGGGGAGCACTGCAAGAGAGCTAGATGCCCACGGTATTATATACAATTCTTGTACTACTACTACTACTACTACTACTACTACTACTACTACTACTACCACCACCTCTTCCTGCCTATATATAGCCGTCCTGCTCCACCTCTGGTTAGTGTGACTTTGTCAATGGTCCAAGTCGGACCGAAACGTCGTCGTAAGCTTCTCTCTTTTATTTATTTTTTTTTTCAACAAGTCGGCCGTCATTTGTGTATCGTTCCAGTCACGGTATTGTGCCTTTTTTGTTATTTAAAGTCAAAATATATTTAAAATAATTTGAATTGTAGTTGCATTTGTATTTTAGGAGTTTTGAATGTTGTAAGCATTATATACTGTATGTAAATCTTACATAAAGTATTTAATACATAAATAAAAAGATATTTAAAATAATTTGAATTATAATTGTATTTGTATTTTAGGAGTTTTGAATGTTGTAAGCATTATATATTGTACGTAAATCTTACATGCAGTATTTAATATATAAATATATATTTCTTATCTTTTCATTAAAAGTTTTAAACTTTGTCTTTTGTAAATCTGAATTATATTATTGTACATCAAACTACAAAAATTGTAAAGATAATATTAGAGACCAGTATAAAAAATGTATTTTAAATTTTACTAGTTAAATTAAATTGTTCATAATCTGTGACTAGTAATTTACACTAATACACTAATAGTATTACTTGTAAACATTTGTCTTAAAAGTCAGTACAGTTTTTAGGCTGTAACATTCATGAAGCATTTGAGTGTTTCTTGCACTGAAATGAAAGAATTTGTCAGAAGTATGAAGCATTGTTCTTTAGACGATTCTTCACACATTCACTTCTTTAACCCTTTTGCTGTCGAGACCTCTGATCATAAACCTGCCCTCAGTGTCGAAAAATATTTGAAATTTTTTTTTTTTTCTTAACGAAATCTTAAGAATATTTTTCTGAGTGTTTTAAAAGAAAAGAAAAAATTTGTGATCAGTATCTACCAAGATATAAAGGTATGAAGTTGACAAAGTGAACCGCTTACGGCAACATCGCTGACTGCCGCTCACTCGGTAATATTATTTTATTTTTATTCCTTTTTTTTTCTTTTCTAATATTTTATTTTCTCAAGTAACTTTTGTGGCCTGTGAGACCAATATAACGCATAATGTATATATATATCCACAATAACCGCACAATAGCCATTTATTTACAAAGCCTGTTTACTCAAACCCATGTTGCCTTCCCCACCCATACTGTATTCCCCACCACCCATGCTGGAAATAAGTCACTTTGACTTTTTTGGGTTATCCTAGGTTCTCTACACATGCTGCTGTGTATGATAATCTGCGTAACTGTATTTGTGTATACCCGAATAAACTTACTTACACCCCGTCTTCCCAACCACCCATGCTGTCTTCCCCACCCACACCATCATCCCCACCATCCATGCTGCCTTCCCCACCCACACCATCATCCCCACCATCCACGCTGCCTTCTCCACCATTCACACTGTTTTCCCCACACCCATGCTGCCTTCCCCACAGCCACACTGTCTTCCCCACCACCCACTCTGGAAATAAGTCACTTTGACTTTCTTGGGTTATCCTAGGTTCTCTACACATGCTGCTGTGTGTGATAATCCTGTACAGTAGATCCCTGGTTTTCGTAATTAATCCGTTCCAGAAGGTTGGCTGAAATCCGAAATGGTCGAAAACCAAAGTAATATTTCCCGTAAGAAATAATGTAAGATCCAATTAATCAGTTTCAGACACCCAAATATATTAACAAAAAGATATTTTATAGAGAATAACTATAGGTTTACATACAGAAAACAATGAAAAATACATATAAATGATTAATTTTAATGATAAACGAACATTTCATACCTTTATTAAAAGACTCTTGTTGGTGAGTAGTATTTATAGTCCCACAGGGACTACATCCCAGTGTATACCCACCCAGCTACATACACTGCGGCCTACAGCCATATTATTACCATCGACATACCATGTTCATTGAGTTTAATCGTTTCTAACAACTACCTTTAATGCCATCATAAACAAAGGGGGAAAGTAATGAATAATTCACGCCGAGAATTGTAAACCAAAGCCTTACGTAATATTAAAAGGGGGGTTACTAGACAATGCAGATTCATGCACGTTTTTTCGAAACGACCC